GTCAGAGGAGTATGATCCAAAGTAAAAATCATTTCTATCTGGAGCTCACAAAAGATCTGGGTTACCGTCGGCTGCAAACTGCTGCTCTCCTGGTTGCAGATCCTGCCGGAAGTCATTCTCCTCATCTGAGTCATCTGGATGGTGATTGTTGTCATGGATGTTGGCATTATTCTGCGCATTGTTATCATTGTCGTTGTTGGAGTTCTGGTTGCTGACAAGGGCTGAGGATACCCCAATTCCAGTGCCTGCACTCAGACCAACTCGAGCACAGCCCTAAGGTTAAGAAAAAACCACATATTTACATCCCTGCATTTCATCTCTACATAAGGATATTTATATAGCACTTTATTTACGAAATGCTTTTACATACACATACAGGAATTCATTTAAGGCTCACAACACTTCAAGCAAGATAAATTTTTATTATGCTTGATTTACAGATGAGATGCACAATGGGAAGAGAATTGCTCAACAGCACATGACCAGTAAGTGGTACAGGTGAGACTTGAAATCCAGTATTCTGACTTCAAATCCGCTGCTTCGACAGTGGGAATGTAACCATTAAGAACTGATAAGACAGACTGATAAGACTGCTTAGTTGAAGCAGTAGTTTGTGTTTTTTTTTACGGTGAGAGTATAAATTTTATTTGTTAAGCAGTTTTAAAATAACATTTTGTTCAACTGGACAATCTCAAATTTCCCAGGATATACAACTAAATAAAAAAGAGCAGTGAAGTAAAACATTTTCAAATCAATTCCTAATTCTCATTTATATTTTGGGTTCCTGAGACTTAATCTCCCAATTAATTAATCTGAGTAATAATTTGCCTTAGTTCAAATTTCCACCTTTGCTCTTACCTTGCCTTCAGTTTCTAGAACTGATGAAGACAGTTTTTCCACTTACTTTTTCCTTTCCCATTTCTAGAGACCCCTCAGTACTCATTTACAAGAAAAAGAGGCCATGCATTATTATGACCTTTATGCCTTCACTAGGGCTGGCAGTAAAAAGTCCAATTATAACTCTGTAAAGGTAGAATATTATTAGGAAGAAACAAATCACTTGTTTTGTTTTCTTCCTTGGATACCAAAATAAACAAACAAAAATTCTCTCAAATGTGATTTACTTTGGGTGGTTCACGAAACATCTGGTCCAGTGAAATAAACTCCAGGCTGGGCAACAATTCAATAAACTGGCCAAAGGAATCCAGCTTCAGAGCATGGCACCGCACTAAGTTGATATCAACCAATCGCGTCCATCTTGAGTGGTCTGTTGACGAAATGGCCAGAGAGAATTTAAGCAACACTTTCTCTATTACTGATGAATTTTGCTATTGGTCACAAAGACTTTCAAATCCTGTTTAAGTAATTTTTCTCTTATCTTATGATCTCTAAAACTTGATGACTGTGAACTATGGTGTTCGTTACCTAGTTTCATTGTGAGAACTAGATAGCTTGGGAATCATTAACTTGTAACCAAGTTAGCCTTGATTTAAATGTGATCCACTCAACAACCTACATACCTATTCAACAGTACGACATTAAAGAAACAGGCTGCATTCATTTAATAGAACATTATGCAGCAATTGAAAGAATGAAGGAGAACTAAACATGCGTGCTGACTTCGAAAGCTCTCAAAATATTCTTAGTACAAGAGACAAACTACAGGACACTGTATACACAGCAGGATCCTTTCGTATATATAAATCATTTTCAATGCTATACATGTATAGGCTGCAATATGCACAAAATAGTCTGCCCAGAGAATATACAAGAAACCGTTGATGGTGGTTACCTTTGAGAAGAGGAGACTTTTCATTTTGTACCTTTCTGTACTGTTTGATATTGTTTATCAAGTGCATGTATTACTTTTAGTTTTTAAGTGTTAACAGGAGTTCTGAGTGATGGGATTATAGGCCATTTTTTGTTTTCTTCTTTATAACTCTTCTGTATTTAAGAAAACAAACAAATCAAAAATCCAATAATTGTTATTTTTTTTAAAGTGATCTACGCCTCCTACAACCTAAAGTTTGTATTTCCAGTAACTTCTTGGTGCAGCTGGGCCAGGGATAAATTTCACTTCTGGTGGGTGAGACATGGTCATTCTAATGAGTGATCCATCTCAGCAGAAGCCCAGAGCCCCCCAAAAAAGCTTGGAAATGGGTTCTGTGAGGAGCTATAATCTCCCTGGGTGGGGACTCCGACAGCAGAGGAGGCGGTTCTGCGGGTGTCAGTGAAGGGGCGTGGTTTGGTTAGAGGGTATCACAATGAAAATTCTCTAGCTCTGAATTTATTTAACGGTTTGAGAATTTAGGTATTTAAGAAGGGCCTTTAAAAAAACAAATAGTATTACTCTCTTAGGGATAAAAATGAACTCCCCCATAAGGATAAATACCAAGTGTAAAAGTCATTGGGGAGGGGAGATTTGAAATAGCTTAGAATTTAAAGGTGATAAAAAATTTCACTACAAGTTAATGTTTAATATGTCACCTAATTAAAGTTATACACACACACACATACTTTGTCCTTTCAGATAATGTGCCATTTGAAGGTAATTCAGAGAAAACAACTATAATACCCCAAGAAACAATTTCTAACCTTCACTGTATGTGCCTGGCCCAAAGAAGTATATATAGAGATCAGGGAGGGCACTTGAATCCATAACCTGGACAGTACAAATTTCTAGGCAGAAAATGTCAGGAGTTCAAAGAGGCACTGAATATACTTCCAACTTGGTTATCAAAGGTTCAAAGAACTTGTATGAACAATCCATATAAAACATCTACATTTTATATTAGGAATGCAATCCACAGCACACACAGAAAAAAAGATACATATTATCTCAACATAACGTACAGCCATATTTAAGCACACAGTACCTGAGATCCAATTGTATGGATTATGTAGATGAGGACAATTATAAATCGCCAGATATTTGATACAGGAAAAAACTTCATTGACTGCCTTCATCCCTATATCGGTGATAATACCAGGATTTTCTACCACATCTGCCAAACCGTACTTCACCAGATCGGCATTAGCCATTCTGCCTAGAGAGAGAAATAGATGATTTTTCTTTTTTTAAAGTTCAGTGTCATGGAGCATTGCAAATTTTTTATCTTAACATCCAGTATGATCACTCTCTAAGATCATTCTGTATCATCTGTCCATCATCAGATTCAGGTTTAGGTATAATTTTTGGTTAGGTAAATTGCATGAGTGGTAGCATTAAAGTAAGAGTTTATATTAAAAGTTAAGGGGGACAGCTAAAAAGAAAAAACTATTTCCAATTGTTTAGAAAAGGCAAAAAGAAAGCAAAAATTCTTAAAGCAAAACTGACGGATATATTGTATTAGTTCATGTTTATGGTGAAGTTTTAGTTTTATCTTTTAAAAGAAAAATGATACCTTAAAAATGTAACTCTTTCAAAGAGTGTAAATTACGATCATGTTTATGGAGTTGGGTGTGACCACATGTAGAGAAGAGTAAACTTGGGAAATTCAGATTCATTTTTAGAAACCGTGTTATTGGTTGATAAGTCTGTATCTATCCCCAGGAGATGGACTTCTAATTCAAACACACCCACTCTCTCTGCCACTGAGCTTTAGTTTCCACTATCTTGTTACAGACTAGGGTGGTGTGTATAAGTAGAAGAGGTCCCTCCATTCTAGTTTATGCCATTGGAAATCACATATCATCCCTTTTGCCCTATCATTGTTTCTCCCATCTATCTGCCCTCTACTTGCCAGGATGGTCCACTTGACTATGAACAATTTGAAGGAAAAAAGGATCTGTATCTAGTTCACATTTCCATTTTCAATGACCAGCACGGGTGGGGATATAGGAATTCAAGCAACATCTCTAACAGTCCTTGTCATCAAGTGACACAAAGCACAAAGGAAACACAGCTGCTCTGGTGAAACCACCCTGCACACTACAGGGTATACCTTCAGCTCAGAACATGTTTAAAACAAGCAATCTGTCCCAAACTCTTCCAACTTCACTTTCCATATAGTTCACAGTGTCTCTCCTATAGACCCCCTTTTGGGTATTTACTGGAATTTCTTGCAGATTACACCTTAACGCAGACTTTACAATTTAGCTGAGCAATTTTCTCTAGCCTCCAGGTAAAAACTTTTTCATGCCCCTTGGACTTGAAATTTGCCTCTTCCCTATGATCAGGTAAATCTTGAACTGACTCTGCTCCTTGGGCACTGTCTGCATAAACAGCCTAACAAGAGAAATCCATGTCCCACATTCACTCCTTTGACACTACTACCATGCTCCTGCTCTTGGGGTCTCCTGATTGTAACACTTCCTCAAAATCCTGAGGACATCACCAAGGACTCATTTTTGTTTCTTTTTTAATTCAGCTCATAGGTCTGCTAAAAGCTACCATTACTGAATGCTTTCTAAATGTCAGAGATTATTATAATAAATGCCCATGTTTTATCACTTGTTAAATGAAAGCCATAACAAACGAGAAAACATGGACTAAAGAAGTAACTTAGGGTCTTGTGATTAATAATAGGCAGGCCTCAAGTCCACCTCTCTCCCTCTTTCCAAAGCTCCAGCTCTAAAGACTCTGTACTGCTTCTGGTTTTTAATGAGTGTTATATCCCTACCACATTTACAGGAAGCTCTGAGATCATAAATCTATGTAAACAAAGAACCCCTCTCTAAGTAGTCATCCTTGGGTCACTTTTCTTATATTCCCAATACACAGCATCTCCTTTTCGGCATGTCCATTTCCTCAATCTGGCACTGACACTTCTACCACAAGTGTATAAGAGACAACGATGATGTTTTCATTTATATTTTGCCAAACCCTTTGTAACAAAAAAGTGACTCAAGTTTTACCAGGGGCCAACCCACCTACTGGAGAGATGCTTTAAAATCTAAATTACTGAGAAGGACAAGATTAAGTTAAAGAGTATGACCAGTGACCTCTCATGCCTCCCTAGTCTGTTAGAGGCACCTGGCTCCTATTCTGATGCAGAGTCCTAGTCTGCCTTTGGAGAAGCAGAGAGCACTTACACAAAAGAAATAGATGAACTGCAGCAAATATGAAGAACAATTTATAAAAAAGGTCAGAGCTAAGTGACTATTAAATATTCTGTGAAACAAGTTATTCTGAAAAGTATAATAGTAGTCAAAGGTAAAGTGTTTTTCTTTGAAAATGTGTGGTGAGGGGAAAGAAACACAATAGGTAAATATGCCCTGTCTGGGTAGCTCAGTTGGTTAGAGCGTCGTCCCAATACACCAAGGTTGCAGGTTCAATCTCCAGTAGGGCACGTACAAAAGGCAACCAGTGAATGCAGAAATAAGTGAAACAACAAATCGATGTTTTGAGCTTTGAGGAAGAACAAAAAACAAGATTACAGAAAGAACACCAATTACGAAGCTAATAATTTTGTTAAGTTACTGCATAGATATTGTAGAAAGATGTTAGCAACCTCATTTAAAACCAGAAAAGCTTGATATCAAATACTTCAGGTCCTAGAATGTCTTTTGTTACAACTCTGATGAGGTCCCACAGGACTTTCACTCTTGTTTATATCAATTAGCCTACAGTAAAATTGGTTTCATTATACACTGTTTTGCCACAGTTCCATGAACTTATCAAGAATGTTGTGGAGGGACTTACTGTATACTGATTTTATATGAACTTACTATACTAATTTAGCATTTTAAAGCTATGTTGGTGAAAAGCTGGTTTTTTTCAAAGCTATAAAGATTAAGTGACTCCTGTGTTAAATTGGCTGATTTGATTGTTTTAATCCTTCACCCGTATTAATGAGAACTGCAACAAAGAAAAAGTAAAAAAAACCAAAACTACTGCTATGACATATATTAGAAATAACAAAGGACAACAGTCATGCTGTTTGACTTAGACTGTCCTGAAGAGAGGAATTAAGCCTTCTATGGTCTTCTACAACACAAATTAGAGCCAAAGGAAAAAAATGCCATCTGGAATGACAGTGACAATTTAAGAAAGACTTGTTGCCAATTACATGGGGAAGAAACTAATACTTGCAAAAATAAAAACATGCTGGTGTTCTTGCATGTATGACTAACATCATGTGGGAGAAAAGTTTGAATAACGAATTGACATGCATTCAAACCCAAAGGCTGAGTTCCCCATTGTAAATACATTCCAGAAAATGCTGTGAACAAGCCTTCCAACAGCAATCATCATTAAATGAATACTGACCATGATGTGCTCACACTATCTGGGAAATCCAGTAGCCCCAGCGGGCTTATTATGGAAATGAAGAGCATGGGCAGGGAATGGGACCTCATCTGAGAGGACCATCAAAAGCTTCAAGAAGTGTGGCAGATCAAATTCAACAAATGGAACCAAGGATGACATTCTGTGAAAAAAATGAAGCAGAATGGGAAAGAAACTTGGGCAGCAGAGTGGAGACAATATCAAATGTAGATAAGGATTTTTTTTTTAAGTATACTGATAATCACTATATTTTCTATAATATGCTAGGCAATATTGAGGCAATATTGAAAAAAATAATCACTGACACTTTAAGTTTAAATTAAAAATTTCTTTTTCAAGAAGTGAGAGCACCTAAGATTTTAAGTTGTCTTATATTCAGGAAAATATGAAACATCCCAATTCAGGTTTCAGTTTGTCAAGTAAGTTCCCTAGAGCAATTCTAGAGAATTAAAAAAATGGGATAAATCTTACTCTGCAGCAAAAACTCATCTACATATCCCAGATGAAGGGTTTCAAACTGGGGGAACTCCAACTCTGCCATTTTTAGGGCAGAAAAGACGCCATCTTTGGTTAGGGAAGGCTGGATCCGAACTTCATGCAACCTATGAACGAAGATACATATCATAGTAAAATACAAGCAACCAGAATCAAAGGTTCTTCCTAATGTAAGTCTCTGAAAGGAGTTTATCTTGCTGAAGTGTCGAATGCAAACAATTTTTATCCCTTCCATGAAAAAATATCAAGAGATGTTTCCTTTAAAGGGGCATTTTGCAAAGTATGGGAACATCTTAGGTGGTACACTGAAGTTCTATTAAATAACAATGAATTACACAGTGAAAATCTTATATCCTTTCCAGTGCTTTCTTAAATCTGATTAAGTCAAGTAAGAATCTGGCGCTGGTATTTTTCTAGCATCTTTTCTATGCTAACCATTAAGCCCCATTTTAACAAAGAGTACAGTTCTATAATAGGTAACAATACCTAGTTACTTAAACTTAGAAACAGTTTTATTTATATTCTTAATATCCTACTGATGAAAAGACTTTTGTTTTTGAATAAACTGAAAAAATAGTTCAATTTAAATGAAATATTAAAGTAAAAGTAGAGGTAGACTTATTGATAACATAGGAAATAGTAAATGTGGCACAAAGTGATATGAAAATGTGTTGAAAATCTAAAGGTGTTGTAAGGTCATGAACTTAAAAAAGCTGCTTTTAAAAAGATTTCTCAACAGCAAATAGTATCTCCAACTAACTAAACTGATTCAGAAAATTGTTTAAGTTGAAACAATATTTCCTGAGGGGGCTGCAGGCACTAGAGAATCAATGCTGACGTCTGTTAGACTCAGACCCTTCTAGAGAACTGACTGCTCTTCTCTGATGACACCAACCCTTTCAGAGCTGAGTCTGAAAGAGTAGCTCACTGGTCATCAGTTATAACATAAAGACTACCACTCAATGATAACCCTGCTGCCATTTAAACAACCCCAGTGCATTTTAAATCTGAACAAGGCATGATCAAACTTTTCACATATTCCCCCAAATTTTTATAGAACAGGAAAAAACATAATTCTAAGACAAAAGACACAGGTGAAGAGGAAACATACCTACGTGCAGCAGTGATAATGAGGTAACCAAGGTCTACTTCAAGAGCGTTTTTGCAAGCCCCCAAAACAATGGTGTGCAAATTTCTAAAACCACCTAAAGAAGGAAAGGAACAAAACGTAAGACATTTCATTTAACCACGGTACTTTTATTAAAGCATTTATTCACACTTTAAATGATAATTATTTGTTTAAAAGTAAATCTAAGTTTATTTTTCCACTCAAATTAATATCTTAAGAGCAATTATGACTGCAAGTCATCTCCTAAGATAAAAACAGATACTGTCATCCTGAAAAGACATCCTGATGACATCTGAAAAGTAGTCAAAATTATTTAGATTTTTAAGTAAGAATTTTCAGAAAGCCTGAAGCTCATGAGGGAATTGTAAACAAGGAATCCTGGCATTTTCTGGCCAAAGATCGAACCTCCAATATATTTCTAAGAAATAAGATCAGTGCTACTTTAGCTTCAACTGATTTTGGCTACATTTCCGAAACTTGTAAATACAGAGCAAAAAAGGTATGCACATTATTAATGTATACAGCTCAATGAATATCACGAAAGACTGATTTGTTTTGAACTTCTTATAAATAAGATCACACAGCACGTATACTTTTGTGTCTGGCTTCTTTTACTAAACATTTTGTTTATGAGATTCATCCACACTGTTGCCTATAGCTAGTCTGTTCATTCTCACTGCTGCACAGTATTCCACTGCAAGAATATGTTATACTTTCATTTTCCATGCTACTGCTGATAGGCATTTGGGTTGTTTCCATGTTAAGGCTTTTATGAACGCTGTTACTGTAAACAATCTTGAACACTCTCCTGATGAACATTGTATGCATTTCTGTTGGATTTAAAGTATTATCATCATTATTACTGTTAATGATAATCTTTGTTATTAGTGTTACTTGATGATTTTCCATTTATACTTTGAAAGACCAAAGTAAGACTTCTAGTTCTCAACTATTAATTACCTATCTAGCTAAATTTCTTGGTATTTCTGTTTCAGTGAGATGATGATTAAAGTGGAGAGCATTCTATTACATATTATTACTTAAAATATAATTAAGGGACCTAGAGAATGACGTTTTTTCTTTTAAAAGCCATCATTTAATGGATGGGTCTATATCCAAGTGGTAAACATGAAAACACTTTATACACTATAAAGTGTTAAATGTTAGATAGTTATGTTGTTAACAGCAAGTTCTTTTGGTATCCAAGTCAAAAAACATCTCTTAAAACCAAAGAGCATTAGATATCCCTGTTAACATTTCTCAGAAACATTCCAAATATAACAGATAAAGTATTAACTAAGTAACAAGTATTAAAAGACAGAAAGTATGTCTTACCACTCTATTTATTTTAAGAAGGTTTAACACTGAGTAAAATGAAAATACTAGCCTGTGCTCATGATTACTTACTCTCCATGAAATATACCAGACAGAAAGTGCCATTACCAATAAGCATTTTCTTTGGAAAAGACTCAAAAGAGAAGAGCTTAATGTTTTTAAAAATTGATTTTTAAAATATTTAGTAACTAAAGAAAAACAAATACCTGATCTCCAACTGTCTTCAACTACATGTTGGATAAGACCTCCAAGGAAAGGAACTCGAACCATTTCTAAATGTTCCAAGTTTCGGGCAGAGGCCAGGCCTGTTACTAAAGGGACATATTTCAAGGAGTTTGTGGGACCTGGGGAAAAGAAAAACAAAACGCAATGAAATGATATAAGCTGCCTTAAAGATAAATTTTCAAGTCAATAACTTATAAATTTTATGTTGAAAAATGAGAGCCAACTAGTTGGCTCTCTGTCATTTATACTTGTTAGAATGAAAGTACTGGCCTGTTAACCATATACTTACTTAGCATAGGATTTGACAGTAACACTGAAGAGATACTTTGTTTTTTTATAAATTCCCTAAAGTCTTAATAGTTTTGAGCTCAAAATAACTAAGGNTTACCAATAAGCATTTTCTTTTGAAAAGACTCAAAAGAGAAGAGCTTAATGTTTTTAAAAATTGATTTTTAAAATATTTAGTAACTAAAGAAAAACAAATACCTGATCTCCAACTGTCTTCAACTACATGTTGGATAAGACCTCCAAGGAAAGGAACTCGAACCATTTCTAAATGTTCCAAGTTTCGGGCAGAGGCCAGGCCTGTTACTAAAGGGACATATTTCAAGGAGTTTGTGGGACCTGGGGAAAAGAAAAACAAAACGCAATGAAATGATATAAGCTGCCTTAAAGATAAATTTTCAAGTCAATAACTTATAAATTTTATGTTGAAAAATGAGAGCCAACTAGTTGGCTCTCTGTCATTTATACTTGTTAGAATGAAAGTACTGGCCTGTTAACCATATACTTACTTAGCATAGGATTTGACAGTAACACTGAAGAGATACTTTGTTTTTTTATAAATTCCCTAAAGTCTTAATAGTTTTGAGCTCAAAATAACTAAGGGGGAAAAAGCCACGCTGAAAATTTGATCTTTCACTCAAGTAAATAGTTCAATCACTTAAACATCTATGTAATGAGTGTTGTATTAAGTGTTATGAAAGATCACAAACAATATGGTCCAATGAAAGAGCTTGCAACTGACATGGAGATAAAACATGAAAAATTATAAATGTATAAAAAAGCAGAACATGTCAAGTACAAAAATAAGATCTATATTTTAAAAAAAGAAGAAACAGAGAGAAGAGGAAGGGAAGTGGAAAGAGGCAGAACTTGAAGGATGTATACAAGGCAAGAGGAGGAAGTGTGTGACTCGGGGCGAGGAAACAATACACACAGGGTAAGGAAAGGCACTGAGGGGAAAGGTGGTTTGGTTGTAGACAGTGCGCAGGCAGACCTGGCTATAAAAGGTGTATCTTGGAAAGGAGTCAGAAACTAGGATATTAAGAAGGGCCCTGGTTACTACGAACTTTAAAGCAGAATAGTTCGCATCTGACACTCTTGGGAAAGACAGGCACTGAAGGTTTCTGAACAGAAAAGATGATCATAAAAGCAGTGTTTTATGCTTTAAAATAGACTAGATGAGACAACTATTTACAGGCAGAATGATTAGGCGACCAGACAAATAAAGCAAATAGAAATCTAGTAGAACAATCCTATAAAAAGTAAAAGTGTCAAAGTGCCTATAAGAAATACACAGAGACATGGTGATGCCTTTTATTTTTTGCTAAGGGTCAGACACAAATCACGTATCTACTGTCTTCAAAATAAAAAGTATATTTATCTTCAGGAGTGAGTAAGTTACAAAACATATAGTATACTACCAAAATAGAATTTTGTTTATGAATGCAGCTATGGAGCTTGCTTTAGGTTATTTTTAGAATAGCGTATGTGTAATCCCACCATAACTATGTCCCATTACCTGCACAGTTCCTCATGACGAAAGTTCGCAAGCTGATGCAAAGAAAATCTTTGAATGGCTGTGGTTTGGTGAGTCTTACCCACTTCATATAAAGGTGCCTTAGCATTGGGATACAAGGAATTTCAGGAACATTCACTCCTAAAACATATGTACAAAAAAAAGAACAAATAAGAAAATCACCAAGAGACTCTGTATTCTGTGTATAAGTTCGAGTCTATTTTTCAAGTTGACAATATATCCTTCACGGATATTTTCATCAGAACAGTTTACCCAATTAAAGTCTATCAAGCTTGGCACACTTAAAACAGTCTCTTGTAAAGAACAATTTAAACAGACCATAAATAGATGAGTACTTTGTTATTTCTTGAGAAAAAGCACACATGAAGATAGGATTTAAAAAGGATTTTTAAATGTCATACACATAAGTCTTTCTCATAACTCTACAACCTTTCTAGGATACATTTGCCCAGTAGATATAACATAAAAATAGGTTATTGAAAGCAAAATTAAGAAGATAGAGAGAGAGAAAAAAGAAGATACAGAAAAAATACACAAAAATACTATTTCACTACCAATGCTCACTATCCTGCTAGTGGGAAAACTAAATTTCTCAGCACAAAGGCAGGCTAGCTGGCTTTAAATATCATGGTTTCTGACTGATATCCAGACACATTCTACAAATGTATGAATCTTAAGGATTTGTAGATGTGTGGTAGGTGCCAGTCAGCATGATGCTAAGAAAGTGAGAAACGTGTCATTTATTTTAATATTTCAAATTGATATAGGTATTTTTCCCTTCTGACCCATGAGAGGCTTAAGACTAGGAATCACACCCACAGAGGACCATGTCTGGAAGAAAGGGGAGGGGATCTACAGTGGGAGGAAAAGTCAGGAAATATGGAAGACGAAAGAAGTCAGGTAACTTGTACATTCCAAATGGAAGGAAGCAGCTTGAGGAACTTGCCCAAGAGTTTGAACACTGTAGGCTAGAGAACAGCCAAGGAAGTGACACAAGTCTCAGAGAAACCCAAAGGTCCAGGGTATTTCACAAGCAGCAGCTGCCTAAACCATTTAATGCAACTTTTAAACTTGACTCAATAGAAGCCCTGAGAGCAACAGTAACTAGAGAAACCAATATTTGAGTATTTGAATGACTGGTTCTTTGAAAGCAATATTCTACAGAAAGCTAAATTCTACTGTATGGATGGCTCCTTAACCTGGTCCTCCCAAATAAGCATAGTTAACTTGAACTTTGAACAATGCATACACATTGTACGGCAACAGATGGGGAAGTAAAACTGGACTGAGACTCAAGATGCAGAATTCACAAAGATACATATGGCATCTACTAAGATGATAGTAGTTCCAATTAGGAAACCCAGGGTAGCAAGGGTGAGACAGATCCAGACAAGACAGTCATATCAGATGCCCAAACTAGATTTTGCCCCAAATCCATTCTATAAACAAAGGACAATTACCTGACTTCCCCAGCTTGTTCATCAATTTAGTACCCACATTTGTATCACCATCACAGTGTTAAACTGTTGAATTAATCAAGTGAACAAATGCATTTCAAAAAAATTTACCAAGTACATATTTTTTGCTATGAACTGTGACAGGAATCATGGAAAAATACAAAGACATAAAAATAGTCTCTGTATAGAGCTTATAACTTCAGATATTACATTATTATCTAAAAACCCAATTTCAAACTAGATATCCAAGTCCTTTATCAGAACCACTCCTTGATCTTGTAAATGAAGGGTTGCTGGAGAGCTCTGCTCTTCTTCCATCACTGTGCACATAGGTCTTATTTAAGACCTACTCCTATCATCTCTGCTGCTCTCCCTTCACCACCTGACCCAGTTTCAGAAATTTCCAGTTCAGAACCATCCCAAAATACATGGAATAATGCTTGGAACACAGCAGATATTCAACATGTATAAGTAAAATATTTAATAAATGAATATTAAATGTCAGACGGGAGTAACCCAAATATCTTTCTGCAATCTAAACAAATGAAATTTGAGAAAAATATCTGCCCTTATCATTTACTTAGGTTGAAATTACTGGGATATAATACCAGAGGATATTTAGACAGTGAATGTACACCATGACCATTAATAAGGGGACTCTGGAAAAGACCATCTCCTCCCCATTTCACAGGGAAACAGAGAAGTGGTTAGAGTTTTCCATTGGTTCTGGGTTGAAGAACATAGGGGACTTTCTGCTTGAAGAAGATACAAGTAACCTAAGAGCTACAATGAAGATTTTTATTATATACAATTTTTTAGTATTAAAATATCCTTATAATAAGGATTATTTTATTCTGCAATGTTCTAGAGCTGAGCTGTATTATAAAGTAGCCACTAGCTACATGTGGTTATTTGATAAATTAACATAAAATAAAATATTCAGTACCTCTGTGTCACTAGCCACAGTGGATACGATATGGGATAGTACAAGTATAGGTCATTTCCATCATCACAGAAAGTTATACTAGAGGACTCTGCTCTAGAGGGCAGAGCCAGGACCAAAAGGTAGATATTAGAGAACTAGGGCAGGATAGGGCTAACTGAAAACAACAAACGAACAATCAATCAAACCCAACAACTTTCAAAACTATTCAAACTATCTTCAAAAATGGAACAGATTGGTTGTGAAGCAGTATTTCTCTCATCCCTCATCCCAGGCTCTTTAATGGGAAATTTTTATACCAGTCTCACAAGCATGTCTTTTGGCATCATCAATCAATGAAGCCATTTCCAAAATTCTCCCTATCTCCTTTTAGTAAATATTCAGTTATGTGGCATTTCAAGGAGTCACAAGTGACCCGAGGAACATGTACTCACCAACTAAGTGTAAAGTTTGAATTTTTGCTCCTATAGGGATTTTCAGTTTATTTTCAGGAGGAATTGGAAATGCTCCATTACGATTCCGAAATTTCCCCAAAATATGAACATGTGGCATGTATGTCCAAATGGATTCTACCAATTCCAAATGAGAAGTCTCCACACCCTAGAAAATAATGCCAAAGCAAGCATAAGAAAGGCTTTTAGTTTAGCACCCAAATCTTCTAGTTCTGTATCACGGGATGTTAAGCATGCGACGGAACTTCAGGGTTTGCTATGGATGGAATCTGCATGTGAGTAAATCCATGTTATCATGCTTTTTATTTATTTCATCAATCAGTTGATGTCCAATGTTCAGCTAGATGCACTCACCACTAAGTTTGGGCATGCCTGCAAAGCCTCCAGAACACCTGGAATGCTAAAAGCTTCATGGCCGCGGACCCTTCGCCTCTCAAGGTATCTAGGGTGAAGGCCATATAGCTGTTCGACATCTGGCATCTTCTTCAACAGTGTCAGAAAACTGGAATCTGTGAAGCCTGAAAGGTTCAAAGATATTCAGAGCCAAGTTCATTTTCCTGTCTGTCAGCATATACTAGGTACTTTTCTCCTCTCCAAAGAGTACTCTCTAGTCCGTAAAACCTCAAGGGGTATACAGAGCACACACTAAAAAAATGAGTAAGAAATGATCCTCATCTTTAGAAAGCTCAGTACTAACCTAAATCCCATCACAACCTAGGTTCTCTTAGTTTAACCACTTCCTAATAACTACTCTGACCTGTGTTTAACTATCACTCCCTAGACATTTTATTTATTTTTTTATAAAGATTTTATTAATGATTTTTAGAAAGAGGGAGGGAGAGAGAAACATGCATGTGAGAACAAAACATCGATGGGCTGACTCCAGCAACACCCCCTATTGGGGATCAAGCCCGAAACCTGGGCATGTGCTCGGACCTGGAATCGCCCTGATCAGGAATGGAACTAATCCAACTGGCAACCTTTTGGTGCATGGGATGACACCCAACCAACTGAGCCACATGGGTCAGGGCACTCCCTAGACATTTTAGAGCAGCAATTTTCAACCCTTCTCATCTCATGGCACACATAAACTAATTACTAAAATTCTGTGGCACACCACCAAATATATATTTTTTTGCAGATTAGACCAAAAAAAGGTATAATCTGATCGATTTACAAAAAAATAATAATAGTAGTTACCTACCCTTTAAAAAACAACAACACACACACACAAAAAAAACTTTCCTTAATTTTAGAGAGAGAGTGGGAAGGAGAGAGAGAAACCAATTTCTTGTTCCACTTATTTACACATTCACTGGTTGATTCTTATGTGTGCCCTGACCACGGATCGAATCTGTAACCTTGGTATATCAGGATGATGCTCCAACCAACTCAGCCATCCAGCCAGGGCCTAATTACCTACCCTTTTTGCAGATGACATGCTATTATACAAAGAAAACCCTAAAGACGCCACCAAAAACCTACTAGATTTAATAAATGATTTCAGTGATGTAGCAGGATACAAAATTAACATCCAGAAATCAATGGTATTTTTGTACGCCATAATGAAAAGAAACTGAATAAAATAAAACCAGAGGCATGGAAACATGGAACAGACTGACGAATCTGAGAGGGAAGGGGGAGCCAGGGCAGTAAGAGATTAACGGAAGGACTTATATGCATACATACACTGCCCATGGACATAGACAACAGAGTGGTGAAGGCCTGGGGCAGGGGCAAGAGCAGGGAAACAGGACACCGGGGGGAGGGAGGCAATGGATAAAAAGGGGTGCACATCTGTAATATGTAATATTCTCGAGAATAAATATTTTTAAAAAAAGATCAGGTGCCTATACTGTATATAAGAATTTCTGCTACCAAGAATTAACCAACCAGATGCAACCTTATTATGTGACCTGACCAATAAGATGCAATTCTACTATGGTTCAAGACAGGGCATTCATATCTGACAGCTACTGTTGTGTTGGCTGTTGTGACTTTTTTATTTGACAATCTAAGGGAAAAGAGGTCAGTGACCCTAATTAAATAGTTAGCTATTGCATGTTTTAAAAATTCTTGCGGCCCTAGCCAGTTCGACTCAGTGGTTAGAGCATCAGCCTGCAGATTGAAGGGTCCCAGGTTTGATTCCAGCCAAGAGCACGTACCTCAGTTGTAGGCTCGATCCTCACATGCAGGAGGCAACCAATCAATGTGTCTCTCTCACATCAATGTTTCTCTCTCTCTCTCTCCCTTCCACTCTCTCTGAAAAACAATGGAAAAAGTATCCCCAGGTGAAGATTAAAAACAATAATAAGAAGAAGAATTTTTGCGGCACATTGTTTGAAAATCGCCATTCTAGACAATTCATTCTTTTGAAAAAGATGAATGCAAGTTAATGAAGAGAACATAAGTGATCCAAACTGCGAGGATGCTGAGCTGACAGAGGGCTATTTATCTGTGAGGCCAGTTGTGCTCCATAGTGGGAATCAAGCAGATGGGAACAGAGGGGGAGGCAGGTCACTTCCACAGCAGAAGTGTTGGTAGGTAAGTGGGGAGACAAGTCTCATACAGATTACACTTTATTATCTGAGGCTTTGTTTTTAATGTAGGCTGTCAGAAAGCCAACTGTATGCTCACTAATGACAAAAGTATTAACTCTCAAGAATAAAAATGAAGGCCCAAATCACTAAGTCTAACATCCTAAAGTTTTCAAAAGTTGTTCTATTTGTACAGGGCTAGTCCGGGTGATATAGTAACTTTAGAATCACAAAACTAAGAGTAAGAAGGGATCTTAGAAATGTCTTGGTCTCTGTAATTATAACAGTTCATGATATTATCCTTTATAATAACCTTATTGACATTCAACATGTTAACCAGTTTACATGTTTTCTCACCTATTCTCACAATCCAATGAAAAAGGTTATCACCCCATTTACAAATGTAAAAAGTTAGCTTGAAAGAGTTTAAAAGCTATCATGTGGCAGAGCCCAAATTCAAAACTAACTCTGACCACTGCCAATGTCCATTCTCTTTCATTGCACAGTATATGTTGCCTCTCACTAAAATGTGGGTGAAGTTCCACCTCCTTTACAGAAATGGTGTGAGAATCCAAAGGGATCGCATATGTAAACCACAGTGTACTACATAAAAACCGCAGAGTTTTTATATAGAGAATCAGGGTGTAAACTCCCTGAACAGGCCAGGATGGCATTAGTAAGCAGTTAGTGAGATCGTATTCTAGGCTAGAGGCTGTTTGCTGCTTTAACTCTCTTTTTATATTCATTGCAGGGATGGGAAGCCTTAGGCTTACAGGTATTTATCACAGTCTGAAAGAAGTCAGCAGTGTACATAGAAATTCTTCTAAAACTGTGTAAAATGGGAGCTCTCCTATGCTGCTTCTTTACATAGTGCATTGATCCCATCTCCAGAATTCCTGCTGGCCTAACCTCCATTATAAATCTAATATAAGGAATGGCTGTCATTTTCAGACTGCCCTAATTTTTTTCTTTCCTGTTATAAATGACCACTCCCCAGAGTAAGATGAATACTTTTCCCTTAGGATGGTTTCTTTCAAGTATTTAAAGATAAGTGTGGTTTGCCTTCTACCAAGCTAAGTTCTAGCCTCAGGTCTTTGCTTTGCAAAAAGGTATATATTATTATTAACTAACTCTGGCCAACTGATAAGAGTTACCAGTTGACTAAAGACCCTCCTGAAAGAATACGGTCTCCCAAGCTATACAATATTCCAGTGTTCCAGAGGTAGTCTGTCCTGCTCCACACAATTCGACACAGCAAGCCAATTATTTCCTCAGCCCTTCACATCCATTAAGGCTCCCTTATACCCAGTCACATCACATTTTCAAAATATTAGGATCTGGATACTTTGATGAAAGGTGGTTAAAAAAGACATTTAAAATTGCTAAACAACAGTAACCAAAGGGCATTAATTAATGGATTGGTGTTAACTGAAAAAAAAAAAAAAAAGCCTGATTGGCCCTTAATTTTAATTCTTCCCTTTCAGATATGCTCTGCTTAAATAAAGTCATCAACTTTGTCTTCTCACAGTCTCTTTATCTGAGGTCCATCTGTTGTGGTTAGGCTATTAACCCTGAGTTCTTTACCTGCAAGGCAAATGCCTTATTTGAAAATACCTAAGACCTAGTGTAGGCCTTTAAAAAGTGCTAAAGAAATTCAAGTTCCAGAAGTGCAATTTCTGTGGTCTACTAGAGCAGCTTTACAAAAATTATTTGTTTAAACAGAAGGAGCCATGAAGGGTATAGGAAAACTATGAAAAACTGCATCCTAAAACAAAGGACACTATCTAATATGATAGACTTATGTTTAGCTAATAAAAGGCTCAATAAGTATTCTCTAATCATATATTTGTGGAATAGGCTGATATAGTTCCTTAAGGGAGTAGGAAATGAAAACAGTAAAGCATCAGGCAAAATGTATTTTATCAAACTAACCCAACCTAAATAATTTAGATAAAACCCAGCCTCCCTATCTATAAGGTGATTGCAATTGCCTATCTCAAGACAACAAGTACCATTTGATGACAACAAGCAACCTTTGATGGAAACATGATTATTGTTAGTTTTCAGGTTAAATCCACTTACCACTTGGCATGTATTCCCACCAGCGCCCAGCGCAGAGATCCACAACCCTCACAACTCTCAAATACAGGGTCACTGCTTCCTTTAGCTTCCGGGAAAGACATTCCATACACATGATATCCTGCAGAGGGAGGTACCTTTGTGAGAGAAAGAAACTCATATTTATCAAGTGGGTAAGGACTTCCTCTCCCTGTTAGGCTATTGTTTTCTTCTTCCATTCTCCTACCCCTCAAATGAAATAAGACCTTAGGAATATTCACAGGGTTTTAAGATTAACATACATATGGCTTTTTACTAAAAACAGGTAAGTCAGCAAATACTCAAGTATCCAAATAATGTACTATGCTTCCTCCATAGGGCGTTTCATAGAACTTGCCTTTCTCCTTTTAAGTTTTTAAGGACAAAGAAAATCTCAAAAAAAAAAAGGTCTCAGTGCATTTCAAGACAAGACGATAAGGGAATGGAAATAAGTCCAGAGTACTGATCAATCTGAACATGCCCAATACAATTTCATAGCTTTAACAGAATCCATTTTCTGAAGCGGCTAAAAAATTCCTCTCTGCTCCCTCAACATCCCCCAGAAACTATCCTATTTTCTCCATCAACAGATATATATATTAAGTTTATAGTATATAATTTTTTTCTTTGCCTTTTAGATCTCACGCTCTGATAAAAGTATTGCATAAGCATTAAGTGAGACCACTTGATCTGAATTGCAATTTCCTCTTTTTCAAACTTCAGTTACATTTTCCTTCCTGAAACTTTTCAATTAGCTTCTACTTTTGTTTCTAGTAATATCAATATGTATTTTGAAAGATCAAAAATCTCATTCTTTCTCTTTCTCAACACCCCTCCAAGCACACCTAGATTTAATTATTTTTTTAAAAATCCTCACCATAGTGAGAAACATCAACATGAGAGAGACATATCCATTGACTGCCTCCTGCACGCGCCCTGACTTGGGGCAGGGATCGAACCTGCAACGAAGGTACCTGCCCTTGACTGGGAATCAAACTCATGATGCTTCCGTCTGCAGGCTGATGCTCTAACCACTGAGCAAACTGTCCAGGGCTAGATTAATTTTTTAAAAACCGTAAAAGCTACCCTTTATGGAGCTGGTATCATGTCACAGATGGAAATCATTGTTTCACAAGTTTATAAGGTAAGTTGTTCAACATTTGCCCCACAGGTCTCCCCCATCCTTTTTCTTCTCTGCTCTGCTGTGTTCCCTGCCCCTCTGGCTATCAGTTGACTTTGGCTAATATCAAATTCAGGCAAAGGCTTTCTGTGTTGCTAGTCCCCTCATTGATTCCTTTAACACTACCCCTACCCACACTTCTCAAAATAGTCCCTTCATTAAATCTTCTTCAAATTCCAGCTGAGTGTATCTTGTTTCCTGCTAGAATCCTCATTGATAAAATAGGTGCTATAATTATTCCATTCTGCAAGTGCTGAAATTGGCTCAGGAAAGTTAACCTACAAAGTCAACAGCCAGGTAAGAGGGAAGAATGTCAACACAGCTGGGTCTGAGTCTAACTCCTAAAAATTAAGCTAATTCTCAAAGAAAAGTCCAAGTATGCCTGCTGAGTATTTCTCTACTCCATTTTTTTTTTTCTGCCTCTGGCTCCTCTCCCTTCCCCTTTAAAACTATTTAAATAAAGAGAATCAAATAAAATAATTTTCTCTACCAAAAAAAAAGTATTACTGCTCACTTAACTTACAGTCTCTATAACTTGGATATAAGTAGGATAATTTTCAGAAACTATACAATTACACATTTTATAAACAATAAAAAATACTGAATTTGCTTCCTAAATCAAATTTTGCCACTAAAACATTTTCCCCCAAATCACTGTTATCCAGAGTATTTGCCTTAGTTAATATTATACTCCCTTTAAATACAAATAGATGAGTAATCATATGAAGTTTATCTTACATCACATTTGCCTTCAGAAAAAAAAATGCTATTTTTCTTCACAGATACATAGTCAATGGGCTGGAGTTCAAAAGGCAGAACAAATACATTTTTTAAAGATGTGTTTAACATGGCACACACAGCAAAAATTAGGGTTCTTTTAAGAAAGTCATAGTTTTTCTTGTTTCATGAAAACATATCAAGTAGTTATCCAAAAATTAAAACATGGGTCCTCAGATAAAAACTTCAGAAGCCTAAAAATAAATCTTTTTTAGAACAAACAGCTCATACCAAATTCAAGTGTTCAGCTTAGTTCACAGTTCTCTACATTCTGCCAATTTGCTGCATGTTTTTTTTGCATTAGAACCAGAGTAGCATCCTTCTGCTCAACTCCAACCCTTCCATTTGAATATTCTGTTTGAACTGCAAAATGTTATTTGATCCGCTCTCAGTTTAAAATATGGCCCAATTTGTTCATAGTATGTCCTCCCATCATTTACAAATGCCTGGCACACATGCCTGGAAACAACTTAATCTATGATTTCTTCTGGAATTTTAATAGCTGTACTGTTTATTTCACTGATGCATTTAGAATTTAGTTGTCAGATATGAGATAAGAACATGCTCTTATGATTTTCTCCAAATGGTTTTCAGGTTGTGACATCATCACTGAATCATCCACATTGATGTGAATACCAAGCTTATCATAAACTACATCCCCACATACATTTGAATCTACAGATGGAGTTTGTCTGTTTTATCCAGCTGTCTGGATATTTCCTCCAATTCCAAATCTTTAATTACTGTATATTTTAAAAAATGTATTTGAATATCTGGTAAGGTTAGGCTCTTTTTCCAAAAAATTTTAGCTATTCTAGTAGACATTTTTCCGTAAAACAAACTTTAGTATCATTTTGTTACGTTAAAAAAAATCTGTTATTTTAATTGGGCCTCGTATTCCCAGAACTGAACTAATAAAAACTACCCTCTCTCACAGAATAACAAACTGAAGAAGACAATGACTAACACACGTTTGTATCAGAAAAGAAAACTAAAGTGTTCATGATTCCCTACTTTGTAAAAACTTCTAAATCTACAAATATTTAATAAGTTTTAAAAATTCAAAACATTTCTTAGAAATTTCATTGGGAAATTTTCCCCAGTAAATAATCTAAAATATTTGAAAATTTAGATGCTTAGAAAAGTTCATTGTAATTGTGTAAGAGAAAAACTGGAAACAATCCCAATGTCAGAACACAAGGGGCAAGGTAATTATCTTGTCATAGGAATATAAAAGCATTATCTCATTGAATCCTTAAATATCTATCATTGGTCCATAGTTAGTAAATGAGAGACTCAGAATTCAAACTCAGGTCTCCAGCTCCAGAGACAAAGCATATCAGGATTTGTTTACTGAATGGATAATGACTGAAGGAAGAGAGCAGGGGAAATTAGAAAGACAGTTTTTTTTCTGCTGTTGTGGGTTTTTTTGTTTGTTTCGTTTCTTTAATTAATGGTATAATGTCATTTGGATAAAATATAATTTAAAAAAAGATTTTGAAAAAAGTTCATCACAAAACAACTTTCATATATGCACTGCATATGGAAATGATGGATATTATTTCACAAAACCTTTGCTTCAATCACTTACATATATCTGCATACTGAGCAAAAATGTGTTTCTCAATGTGGGTTGTAGTAAAAAAAAAAGTCAGAAACACTGCCTTGTGTACACACAGTACTGTAATAACAAAAGTAAACAAATCTTTTAGTCAACAAGAATTCCAAGAAGCCTGGAATGTTAACACAGTCTAGAGAATGGCTGTTCAAGAGAACTTTCTGCAACAAAAGAAATCATCTTACCTAAAAATATGGCAAAGTACTTCATGTGAAAGTTGATTCATATAATCCTTTGTTTCATCTGATACTGTTTCCTCAGGAATTTCATTATTCATAAGACATGTTTTAACACTTTTCTTTCGTGGACCCATTGCTGCGTTATCTCCAGTTATCAAAGAGCAAATCTCCCCTCTTGGTTACTTGAGTTCAAAGTACCTGAGAGCAAGCAGAGAACAGAGGAAACTAAAGCAGCAAATCAGATGCAGAAATTATCTCTATAAAACCTAGGTAAAACAGCTTTTATTTATTTTTATTTTTTTAAAACATTTATTTTAAAATACAAAGGTAATTACAATGGTACAGACCACATTCAAATTAATAAAAATATTACACCAAGAGCACAGAACATAGTTTTCTGAAGAGCAGTACAGAATATAAAACGGAATTATTTAGAATGAGCAAAAATCCAAGGAACCAGGAGTCCTGGATTCTAGTTTGTACTCTGTTGCTTCCTAGCTAACTCACTGAGTCTCACCAAGCATCAATTTCTTCAAATGTAAGGTAAGATCGCTCACCTCCCAGTCACCTGATTGGCTGTTCTCATCAATTTTACCACAATGTTGCTGTTGCATCCAATCCCACTGGCTTTCAGGCCTCTATCAGCCCTAAATGGAACTACTGCAGCAGCTTACTAAATGATGTGCAACACTGTCTCGCCAGGGCCTGGAATAAAGCCTGCCACACAGTAGGCCTACAATATGTAACTTGCTGAATAAACACCATCCCAGACTTCCACAGTGAAGTTAGTGCTACCTTTTTACAACACTCCTCTGACTGCATCCTAAGTGAAAAGAGTAAGATGTTGAACTTGCACAAAGAAAAAGGACAAACATGTCTGCTCGAATGGGACAGTTGGAAGGACCCATGATAAAAATACTAACAGTGGTTACTTCTGGGGAGTGAGAGCAGAGGTTTAGGAAAGTAGGAAAGAGACTTTATTTTTCATATTCTTCTCCATTTTTTGAAAATTTTAGATTGGTAATGTATATTTCTTAAAAAACAATGACCAAATCAGCCTGCAGGGAATCCTACTTTCTAGGATAAAATCTTCCCAATGTGGTCACAAGCCACCTTTTCAATCTCACCTTTCAATCCTATCACTTGCTCCTCAGGACACTCCAGCCACACGAACATCCTCAGTTCTCACAAACATTGATCTTTCATCCCTAATAAGCTACTGCCACTGACTAGAATGTCCTTCCCTTTCCTTCCTTTTTTTTGGTCTACAAAACCACTAATTTGGTTTTTAAAAAATCTGCCTTCAAAATCTAGTTTAAATGTTGAGTCCTCTGTGAAAACTTCTCCTATTCACCCCCTTTTCCAAGCTCCCTGGGAGCTTCTACCATAGCAATTTGTATAGTATTTTATTCATCATGTCTCTGCCAGGAAAAGGAAAAGAAACTCAACCTCCTGCCTCTATGTGATAACAAGTCCTTGCTCCTAATAAGTCCTCAAATGCCTGACGTATGAATATCCATCAGTCTTTCCATTACTCCATATGCATCCAGTAGCTTCAAGGTTGCTAAGAACCATTTCACGTTTCTATTTGCTATCTCAACACTCAACGACCTCAGCAACAAGCGTATGACCCTAGCAAAAATGCAATTAGATGTTACTCCAATAAGGACACATCACCAAGAGTTACGCTGCAGCATGTAAATGACTCAACAAGACTATTAACTAGTACAGAGCAGCCCAACCATGAGTTAATTCTCTAGTTATCATATTTTAGTATGTCTGACCTTTAAGAATCTTCACAACTCTGCCCTGGCCGGGTAGCCCAGTTGGTCAGAGCTGTGTCCCTATGCGCCATGGATGCAGAGATTCTCGGTTGGGGCACATAAAAGCAGCAACCGATGAATGCATAAATCAGTGGAGAACACACTGTGGTTTCTCTCTTTCAAAACTCCAAGTTAAAAAAAAAATCTCCACAACTCTGTTTACTGATACCATGCTGTCTTTCACCCCGTAAGTAAAATTCTTTCTTAGCCCTTTTCCCTCCTTTTTCTCACCAAATCCACACCACTGACTAACTTTCCCCTCACCTACAGTCCCACCTTTACTGTCCCTTTGTATTTGGCAGTGCTGCGGTTTTGTGAGAGTCACATTTAGTAGACCCACGGAACAACCTACATTTGAATTTTTAAACCAAACGGACTGTACTTTAAATATCATTGAGTTTATAAAAGTTCACCTGTTTGAACTCAGAGAAATATTTACTCACAGATATGACATTATACAACATCATATAGATGTTAGGTCTCCAGCAAGCCCACAAAAATCTAACAGTATGCATCAACACTACGCTGAAGGGCCTAATTAGCAGGACTAACAAATTTTTAGGCAAAACTGTAAGTATATTTCCCATATCGTGTCTAGAATTAAAGACTCGGTCATGTAAGCTACCTACCTGGCAGTAGGTAGAGTAGTGACCACCCCCCTTACTGTAAGCCTTTGGTGGGAAAGGCCTTGTAGAGATGAACACTGGGGTAAAGGACATCCTACACCTAGGGGCTTAGCAGGTCAGGACCTATAGACGGGATATCCATCAGTCCTCTCCAGTCCAAGTAGGTGCCCCTGGAGATGTTCAGGAGATAAAAGCTTCCTCCTTAAAGACTAATTTATTTTCCCTTACACGAAGGACTCACTCATCTTCCCCTGCCACCACTTAGACTCTATAAAGGACATGAAAACTGTTTCAACTAAAGCTGATTCATCTTCATTCACGTGAAATACCAGCCAGGCCACGCTAAGCATTTCATCCCGGGCACTGAGTAACACAGGCCTGCCACCCCTGTATAAGAAAACACCATCCAAGACACTCAAAGTCCTGAGTGATGATGGTGCCTCTCTTGTATGTGCATGCACTCTCTTCAGTGCTTTTATTTCAGTGGAATGAAGGATAAAAGCAAGTGAGAATAGAAAATTACCCTTCAATGTCTTGGTTTCTTCCCACCCTTATCTCCAAAATATCACCATTTGCCACTTGAGAAACTCAACAAAGTAGGAAAAGTCCAAAGCAGCACTGGGTTAAAAGAGAAAGAGGAAAGGAGAGAAATTCCAGTTATCAGCCATAGATAAAGATGACACATTGGAGGTGGCCTGCAGAGGAGTCAGGGAGGGTAAGGGAGAAGTGAGTATAAATAACAGGTGAGTACAAATATGTGAAGATTATAGTTTGCAGCACGAAGTCTTATTTCTAGGGTTAGCAAGTCCTGGGAGCTTAGACTCTAAACTCAAAGAAATGTCATTCTGATAGGATGTTATAGAATTCTAGAATGTTAAAAGTTGAAGGGGCCTTTAGAGAATACCTAGTCACATAGTTCTTAATTTTTTCTGGGCCACAAACCCATCTGAGGCTACGATGAAAGCTGCACATTTTCTCCCTAGGAGCAAAACAAACCATACCAGACTCATATACACTGAATTATATACATACAATTTCAGGGGCTTCACAGACACATCAAAGCTCACCCAGAGATCCCTACCCAAGATTGGAATCCTCAATTTTCAGATGGACAAATAATATCAGAGAGCATAAGTCACTTGCCCAAGGGCATATATTAAGTGTCAGAGCTCAGGCTGGGATTCAGATTCCCCAACCCACACTATACACCCTATCATCAAGTCAGTCCTCTGCACCTTGGCCGTCTCCCTGCATTCTAGAGATATGCCCCAGTGCTTGGAGATGGGCTTCTGGATGCTCTGATAAAACTGCTACTGACTGCACCCTCCTCCCACATTAGGGTTTGTGGTCCATCTAATTTAGGCTCCTACACAGTAGCCTACAACAGCCCTGGGTATCCTAAAGTCAGTCATTCTGTAGCTGTCTGTTCAGCAGAATGGAGCCACAGGAAGCATCAAAATTTTGTCCTGGAGGCTCAGGTACATTCTAAGTAGTACGCCTGTGTTATCTGTGAGTATTCTTTAAACTAGGGTCCTTCCATAATACAATTTCTCTTAGACACGCATGCTCTTCTTCCAGCCTGCCAGTTCAAAGCTCCTGCCTTCCCAGGCAAAACTACGCTATTCTCTACTAATTCAATTCCTTCTGGTAGCTCCCAAATTTACCCCAGTCTCTCAATCCTTAGCCCTAAAGGTTTTCTCCACTTCTTTTTTTTTCAATCCTCACCCAAGGATATTTTTTCCATTGCTTTTTCAGAGGGGGGGCTAGAAGAGACACACATTGAGTGGTTGCCACCCGCTCGCTCTCTGACCAGGGCCCAGCCTGCAACTGAGGTACATGCCCTTGGCCAGAATCGAACCCAGGACCCTTGGATCCACAGGCTGACGCTCTAACCACTGGGCCAAACCGGCTAGGGCAAGGTTTTCTCCACTTCTTGTATGGGAGCATCACATTTCCTTGCTTACAAAATCAAGCTATTTTCCTTTTAACCCTTGATTTCCATTATACAGGTTTTAACACTTACTGTTCACAATTCTCACAATTGCTGATACCTATAAAAGACCTACATAAATTCACTCCTTTACTCTCTACATGTCACAACTAAAAATCTTCCTGTACCTGTTCCATCTTGTCAACAACCTCCTCCATCCCTAAATTATCCTAATTACTCCCTTCCTCAGATCACATCAGACCCTCCAGGATATGTGTTTGTGTCTTACTACACACTTTATAGGGCAGAGATAAACACCTTACAACTAACCAGAAAACTTAGAGGCTCCTTTAACAAAACATTCACAATTCTTTATCAATTTCTCATTCTGTATCTAATTAACAACAGTTCTCTGGAGAAACACCTTTTCATGATTGCCTCCATCTATCCATCCATCCACTCATCCAGCCATCATTTAAGTAATCCATCCCTTCACTGAATTACTTTCTATGGTCTACTAAGTGCTAGGTGGTGACAGTCGTTCTCCTCACGAAGCTCAGTCTCAGGGTGGAGGCAGGTTTTACCACCAGTATCTTACAAGTCAGTCATTTCAATTATTGTATCTTAAATTACTTTTCATTATTCTTATCGAAAATACCTCCTCCCCCTTAAAGCTTCCCGGTGTCCTCATCATCCAATCTGGACAAAGGCTTCCCAGCCCTTCAGGTTCCTAACGCCTTTCTTTAGTTTCTATGGGCTTCAGCTTACTCCCATCAAAGGGATCTTGCATGTCACTTAATTTGGTCCCATTTCCCAGATCAACGATCTTCAATGTCTCCTACCTAAGAGACAGCCTCTCTTTCCGAAAGAAATGCCACACCATATCCGCCAAGCTGCTTAGATAAAAAACAAAACCAGAATTACAGTGAAGAAAAGAGTCAAGAATCACCCAGTCCAGCCCCTCATTTTCCGGGTGAGGAAAGGGAGGCCCAGAGGGGTGAGCCGGGTTGCTCGAGGTCATGAAGTCAGAAAACATCACTGCTAAACGAAGTCAGGATCCAGGTCTTCAACTGCAGGTCAAGTCCAGTTTCATTTCACTATGCCACTTTATCTTACTGAAATACAGTTTTCCTTTTGCTCCTATTCAATGCCCCAGCATCTTTTTTTTTACTGGGAAAGTAAAGTGTGTACCTCCAGGCACACAGTCATTTAAGCAAACACACACACCTAACAAGGACAGAAGAATCACAGCTTTGTACATTTTTAAGGAGAGGGAGAGAGCCTTAGGAATCATCTAAACCAGTAGTTGCCAAAAGTCATAGTTAAAAATTACAAGCACCGATTTTTCAATCTATATGACTACATATATAATACCCTCCAAACCCCACAAAAGTCATGGCCTTAGAGAACCATTATTCATTCTTCAGTTGTGCTGGGAGTATGGGAAAGGGAATTAAGAACCAGCGACCTAACCCAGCACCTTCCTTTGCCGGAGGAGAAATCTCAAGTCCAGAGAAGGGAAGGAATTCGCCCAAAGTGAACCAGCAAGTTAAGAGAGCATTTTAAGACCAAAAAAAACCAAAAAACCCACAAGGTCTCCTATTTTTCACATTGGTGTGTTTTAACTGCTGGTACTGGTTTATAAAACAAAGTCTTCAGGGCACAGAGTCCCGCTGCGCAGGAAGCACAGGGACCTTCCAAAGCGCCGAGTTGTCCTTGGCCGGCTGGGTGTCTGGCAGCAAACACGGTGGACATCTCTTATCAGTGACCTCCTGGCTGGGCAGGAGGAGGCAGGAAAGACACGCTTTTCAGGTCCGTCTTCAAGAAAAGACTTCGAAAGAGGGTTGAGAATCTGACTTCCCGAGCTAGGAGGGACATCAGAGGCACCCAACACGCTCATTTACAGATAAACAAACTGGGCCACAGAAAGGGTCATGGGCCTGGGCACAGTCACACAGCGAGTCGGTCGGTGGACGAGGCAGGACTAGAACTCGGGGCTCCGGACCCCAGGGATGGCCGCCTCTCAGGGGTGTACCCGCTGGGTGCTGCTCAGGGTCATCCCCTCCGTACGCGAGCTCCAGGCCTTCCTCAATTGACTGGCTTAGCCACTGACTTAACATTGACATCCTGGAATTCGTGACGCCCGGAGTGGAATGGGGTCCCCCACGTTGTCCAGGCCAACCACCCCCATTTTGTTCAAGAAAGCGAGACCAAGACGAGCGTGTTCTGTATGTTGGTATCTTGGGCCAGGTTCACACAAGGGGGGCAAAACGCACAACCTGGGCCTCAAAAGGCCAAGAACCACGAACCCAACCCCTGCTTTCCCGGGAGCTACAGGCCCGACAGGGGCCCGAGGCGGACAACCAGGCGGCCGGGAGCCCGGGAGCCCGAGAGC